CGCACCGAGGGCCGCCCCCCGCCCGCGCCCCGCCCGCAGCCCGAGCCTAACCGCCGCCTCTTTTTGTTCCAGACTACCCGTGCCGGTTCTGCGGCAAGGTGCTGAGCCGCAAGTGGAGCTGGGCGCAGCACGAGGCGACGCACACGGGCGAGCTGCCGCACCGCTGCACCGTCTGCGAGCGCAGCTTCGGCAACGCGTACCGCCTCAACCGCCACATGCAGTCCTCGCACACGGACGAGCGGCCGTACGGCTGCGACGAGTGCGGCGCCTCGTTCGCCGTGCTCGCCTCGTTCCAGCGCCACCAGCGCACGCACCGCGGCGAGCGCGCGCACGTGTGCGCCGTGTGCAACAAGGCCTTCTTCGAGCCCTACAAGCTCAAGAGGCACATGCGCGTCCACGGCAAGCGCGACCTGTCCTGATGCGGCTCGCCCCGGCCAAGGCCAAGGACGGCAAGAGACCATAAAGTGCGCACGTTGGTCTCGCTTTCCCCGTCGAGGAGGGGGACAAAGTGACTTTGACTCGAGGCAGCGTTTTAAAATCGTGGGCGACAGGGGCTGCATTTCGGGTTCGGGGTGGCTCGAAAGACGCGGTCTGAATTTCGGGCTCATGGATCGTCCTGATAGCGTGTCCGTTTGGCTGAGAGGTCTACGGAAGATCAGCGCCTGCGATACTCAGGGTAGGCCAGCCCGCAGTACACGCATGCACTGCAGGCGAGATGTTGCCTACCTGTCAGGCGCCGAGAGGTTGCATAGGCTTGCTCGGCAGGTTCATGACGACCAATGACGGGCGTACGTTCTGAACGAGCCCTCAGTGGACGAACCACAAAGAAATGAGATTTTACCAAAAATTATAGTTGTAAATAAAGTCGATACATTGCTGTTCGGATGCCTTTCACTTTCACCCCCCTCTTTTTCCTTAGATCCACTCGCACCCCTCTGCTTTGTGCTAACCCTGTGCTGTTCTGTGTTCAGGTTCAGGTAAGGAGTGTCCCGTGTGCCACAAGACGTTCAAGACCCGCCGGAACGCCGAGACCCACCTGCGGCAGCACACGGGCGAGGCGCCCTACCAGTGCCCGGAGTGCCCCTGCACCTTCCGCTACTGCACGCAGCTGTCGCGCCACAAGCGCAGCCACGCGGCCGACCGCATGTTCCGCTGCCCGGAGTGCGCGACCACCTTCGTCGACCGACAGGGCCTCAAGCGCCACCTGCCAAAGCACGGCCTCATACTCGTGCCCGAGCCAGCACCCGAGCGGAAGCCGGTGGCGCGCGCGCGCAAGACCATGCGCTAAGCTGGTACGCTGGTGCGGCCTCTGCCTGTGTGTTAGTGCACGCAACTTGCAACACGTAGATAGTGATTTTGTACTTTAAAAAATAATAGAAATAAACAGTAGTGGTGGTGCGGTCTTAGAATCGACTTGCACGTTTGTGCTTGCTGCAATTGGTCTTTAACTTAATGTGTGTCTTCCAATTTTTCGTAGGGTTGATAAGGATATGTCGAGTGGGTGCGGTTAAAGGCTCGTCTGGACGGCGTGTTCTTGCGCTGAGCAATGTGCCTCTGTTGCAGTTGCCGAGCCGGTCGACGGCCTCGTCCAGGAGGAGGACGGTGACGTGCCCTCGATCCTGCCCGGGAGCGTCTTGTCGGGCATGGCGGCCCTGTCGCCGGGCAGCAGCGAGGCCCGCGCGCGCTTCCGGTGCTACTCGTGCGTCCGCTCCTTCGACGGGATGCAGGCCATGCGGCAGCACAACCTCCTCTACCACCCCGCGTACCCCAGCGACAGCCTGCCCTGCTACCCCTGCCCCACCTGCCCGACCATGTTCCGCACCAACTGCAGCCTGGGCGCGCACGTGCTCAGGAAGCACCCCGGCAGCTACACCTTCGCCCCTCCGCCGTGGCAGTCGCCCGCGCCGAAGCCTGAGTCGTCGGCCATCAATACGGAGTTGTCCGCGCCCGCCGGGTCCTCTGCCCGGGACGGGCAGGTACCGTCGCCCATCCTGGTGCCCGGGATCACACCCCTTGCCAGTGTAACCGTCGAACGGGTGGACGCGCAAGCCTCGGGCCCCTCAGCGATCCCGTCGCTGACTGCGCCGAAGAAACGAGGACCAGGCAGACCTCCAGGCAGCACGGCGAAGCCCCGCCGGCTGGGACAGGGAGTTCAGATCACACGCCCCATGAAGAAGAAGAAGATGCAGGCCCCCAACCCCGTCAAATGCAACGGAGTCAAGGACGAGGGTGTCATCCCGTCAGCGACCTTCTACTCGGCTCCCAAGACTGTCCCCGCTGTCTCCAAGCTCTCCTTCGTGGACCTCACGGACCCCGCGCCCGCGGACGCCGCAGCCACCTCGCCAGGCCTTGGCGAGGCTGCTGTGCACGCGCCGGTGGTCAAGAAGAGGGGCCGGCCTCCGGGAAGCACTTCGAAGAAGCCCCGCCTGCTGGTGTCTTTGGGCGTGCACCGTCCGAAGGAGACGCAGAGCCCGCTCGCCGCCGGCAGTGCCGTGGACAAGGGGACGCCGGTGGGCGCCGGCCAGGCTGCATTGGACGCGCCGGCCGCGCCCCCAGCCAAGAAAAGGGGAAGGGGGCGGCCGCCGGGGAGCACTTCAAAGCGCCGCCCGCTGAAGCTGGGCGTGAAGACGGCACGCCTGAAGAAGATGATGTTCGACTTCCTGGTGCCGTCCCGAACGGGACCCAGTGCGTCTCCGGGTGCCTCGGCCTCGGGCTCCTCGGCAGGCCCCCCTGCGCCTCCGGGCCCGCAGAGGGTGAAGAAACGCGGCAGACCCGTCGGCAGCACGAAGCGCCGCGCCCTGTTGCAGAGCATGCACATGAAGACGTTCAAGCGGTCCTTGCGCTACCCCGCACGCGCCGCCCAGGAGGCAGCTGGCCAACAGCCTGTCCTGGGTGAAGTGTCAGTGCCGCCGGCTACGCCTTCCCCAACTGATGTCCTGGAGGAAGTTACTCTTCAGCCAGGTGTGGCGCAGCCCCCGGCTGTTGAAGAAACTCCTCTGGAGGAGCTACCCGCCAATCAATACTTGCTTACGGATGTTTTAAGTGTGTTAGAAACGGACTCTCTTGAAGCAAGGGGCATCATGCCACAGTAAGAGAACCAATCTTGCTAATTTTGTAGATTATTTCGTGACCGTTTGCCAGTTAATGTGTTTTTGAAGCTGTGCAATTTGCAATAATTGTATATTAGTCGTAAATTTAGATTTGCATTAATCTTTTATTGTCAGGCCCGTGGCCACGTCATAGACCAGTTGCTGTACCCGCTTTAAGTAGGTAACGCTGTCCCATCTCTCATTCTCGGTTTTCAAGTTTACAGCATGTCTGATATTTGTCCAATTATTATTGTATTCGTAAATAAATTAGATGTAAGATTTGTTGAATAAAGTGAGATCGTCCTTAAACTGTGTAGATTGTGTGATTTTTAAGGGCCCGCTTGCTCTTGCTATCGTTGCTGCTTTTAAAGAATATGATAAGCCCGTTGAGTGTCGTCCACCACCACACTGTGCCTTCCACCAAGTAGACTATCTGTTCCTTGGAGTGCATGTTCTTTAGCGCCCTCTCGTAGTTCCTGGTCCATGCCAACCCCCCCATAGCCCTCTCTAACCATTTAACTCCGTTGCAGGTACGGAGGAGCGGGACCCGGAGGAGCCTCGGAGGGACGTCAGCGCGGCCGAGGCCTTCATCCTGCCGACCATCCGTCTGATAAAGTGCGATCAGTACGACGGGCGTGCGGTGTGCTCGGAGCAGCACATCCTGCCGACAATCCAGCCCGACAGCGCGAGGCACTTGGCCGATGGGGAGATCGAGAGCGTGGGCGTGGAGCGACCTCAGGGGGTCGGTGTTACTGTGGACGACACGTTCATCCTGCCGAACAGCCAGCCCGACAGCGTCGGGTACAGTGCACAAGTAGAAGAGCCGGGGGTGGAGGACGCCACCCCGGAGGACACCCCGGAGGACGCCCCGGAGGACGCCCCGGAGGACGCCCCGGAGGAGGACGAGATTTTGGATGTGGAGAACGGGGACGACGTGTTCATTCTCCCGACCATCCAGCCCGACAGCTTTGAAGCGGTGCCACAGCCGCGAGACGACGGCCCCGGACGTGTGGACGCGGTCGTGGAGAGCGGCCCGTCCCTCGAGTCCTCCGTCTGCGCCATATGCCAGGTCATCGTGCCGGAGCCCAACCTCAAGGCCCACGCGCGCAGTCGGCACGCTGGCACCGCCTTCTGCTGCGTGTGCCGGGTACCCGTGCCGAACCTCAACGTCCACCTGGTCAGGAAGCACACCGGGCCCGAGGGCCCTAGCTTCCCCTGCGGCCTGTGCCCAGGGAGTCGAGCGCACGCCAAGCACGGCGCACTGGTCTCCCACTGCATCAAGGAGCACCCCGCCGACTTTGGACTGCCCAGGTGGCGACGGTCCAAGCGTGCCAGCAGGCGACCCGTCACCCTCGCCGTCACCCAGCTCGCCACCAAACGTGCCACTCGACGCAAAGGTGCTGCTCGTCGCAGACTTGCCGCCCAACGCGCTGCCCAACGCGCTGCCCAGCGCGCCACCAAACGCGCCGCTCAGCGTGAACTAGTCAAGCAACGTGCCGCTCAGTGTGAACTAGTCAAGCAACGTGCCACAGTGCTGGCCCCACGACAGGCCACGGTCGACCCCGTCGGCTCGGTGCCGACTCTTCCTCTTTGCGAGAAGGATCTAGTCGCTAAAATGAAAAGCTCTTCTGTTAAATTTGTCCTTGATATTTTGACAAGCGTAGGAAAGAACCGTGAAAATCAGTAAATAGAAAAGATAATGTAGACAAGATAGATGTGAATAAATGGATATTGCTGTTCAACTCTCTTCATTCTGTTTTTCTCGCTCGTTAAGTTGTTGGGCTGCATGTCATGTTTATGCGCTATAAGCGCTTTGTTTTAGGTGGTGTAGTGTGTATGTTGTGTCCCATACGTAATCGAACTAATTTTGTTTCCCAAACGCGTGCGGGCCTTACTCGCCTGCACGTCAGACTGCGGGCCTAAAACACTCTCCCCATGTTGCAGGTCCAGAAGTGCCGGCGGAGCATCGGGAGGATGATTTTGTGGATGTGGAGAGTGTGGACGATTCCTTCATCCCTCTGACCACCCAGCCGGCCAGCGCGCAACCTGTTGCAGGAGCGGAGCCGATCGGCGGGGACCTTCAGGGAGGTGTTCTGTCGATTCTCCCGGGTAGCGTGAGGTCTCTCGCGTCGGACGGGCGACCGGCCAGCATCGAGCCACCGCGTCGGAAGGCACCGCGGAGGAAAACTCCACGGCTGACGGCCCCGAGGCCTACTCGCCCACCAGCATCCCGTAAGGGGAACAACAGCACCCGACGCCCACCCCTCGCCAGCTTGCAGGCCAGCTGGCCGGCGACCAAAGTGGAGGAGAGCGGCGCCCCTCCGGGTGCCCCTCCGGGCGCCCCCGCCAAAGGCGTCACGCCGACGTTCACCTTCTGCAACTCTTGCCGGGCCCTCGTCCCGGACCTCAAGGCGCACGTGAGGCGCCGGCACAAGGGCGCCGCCTTCTGCTGCGTGTGCCGGACCCGTGTGCCAGATCTCAAGGCCCACCTGAACAGACAGCACTGGGCGGCCGAGGGGCTGGGCATCTCCTGTGACCTGTGCCCTGGACTTGGAGCGTACGCCAAGCACTGCGACCTGGCCGCCCACTTCATGAAGGAGCACGCGCAGCAGTTCGGGCTCATCCGGCTTCCCACACGACGCCCCACAAGAAGCGATACACCGAGCGCTACACAACGTCCAACGGAACGCTGCACTCCACGCCCCAAACGACGGGCCGCGGTGTGCTCCATGGTCTGCTGTACAGAGATCTCGACTACTGGACCCACTGCGGACCCCAGCAAATGTCTTACTGCGGCCTCCACTGCGGCCTCCACTGCGGCCTTCACTGTGGCCTCCGGCCTCCACTGCGGCTTCCACTTCGGCCTCCATTGCGGCCTCTACTGCGGCCTCCACTGCGGCCTCCACTGCGGCCTGTACTGCGGCCTCCACTGCGGCCCCCACTGCGGCCTCCACTGCGACCTCCACTGCGACCTCCACTGCGACCTCCACTGTGACCTCCACTGTGACCTCTACTGTGGCCTCCATTGTGGCCTCTACTGTGGCCTCCTCTGCGGCCTGTACTGCGGCCTCCAATGTGACCTCCATTGTGGCCTCTACTGTGGCCTCCTCTGCGGCCTGTACTGCGGCCTCCAATGTGACCTCCGCTGCGGCCTCCACTGTGGCCTCCTCTGCGGCCTTCACTGCGAGCCCCCCATCAAACGGAATCAAGGAAAATCCGAAACTTTTCCGCGACGACCTTGTCACAAAAATGAGGAGCACTCATGTGAAGACGCTCCTGGAATATATGACACGTCTTAATTCTGACTGTACAGCGAAATCCACCCCGGGTTCCGCCCCGGCCTCCACCCCGGGTTCCACCGCTGGTTCCACTGCAGGATCCACTGCAAGATCCACTGCAAGAGCCATCGCGGGCTCCACTGAGGGGTCGATTGGGGGCTCCACTGCCGGCTCCACTGCGGGCTGCACTGAAAATGAGACAGACGAACTTCTCACGAAAATGAAAAGCACTCACGTTAAAATGCTCCTGGAATATGTGACTAGCCTTAATGCAGAATGTACAGCAGGTTCCACCATTGGTTCCACCGCTGTTTCCACCGCTGGTTCCACCGCTCGTTCCACTCCTGATTCCCCCCCGGGTTCCACCTCTGGTTCCACCACTTGTTTCACTGCTGGGTCCACTGCTGGTTCCACCGCTGGTTCCGCTGCTGGTTTCACCGCGGGTGCCGCCGCGGGTGCCACATCGGGATCTACCGCTGGTTCCACCGTGGAGTCTATTGCCGGTTCCACTGCCAGTTAAATTTGCTCCTCTGCAGGCATCACTCTGAATGCAATTGACGAACATGTCGCAAAAATTTAAGGCTCCACTCTTAACCTGCTTCTTGCTAGAAAATATGACAATGGCTGCAGAAAATAATTCTGAAAAGCGCCAAATCGATAATACGTTCTTGACGAAACAAGTGTGAATAAAGGATAATTGTTTTTCCAACCCTGTTTGCCCCCTAATTTTTAAGAGGCCTCCATTATTTAAGTTCCCTACGTTATGGCCACGCTACATTGAAATTTGAGGTGTCTCAAATGTGGGAGTAGCATGGGCAAAGATGTCTAGAATCGATAAGCCAAAATTTGTCTCCAAAGTAGACGCAAAATGTCGCTCTGGATCTTGTTGCATACATTTGAGAAATCCTCAAATTTCAATGTATCCAGAAGGTGCGACACGAGCAAACCCTCGCTAGGGGGCTTGCAGCTGTGCACGCATGCGGGCGGGTTGCCTACACTACACGCACGGGGGCATAAGAAGCGGCGAGGATAGGCAAATCCGCCTGCACCCGTGCATGCGGTGCATTATGGCTACGAAAGTGCGCGGCGTGAAGTAGCATCCTGGTATTTTGCTTTCGTCATCGCTCACCGAGTGTGAGCCATGCCGACGCAAGTGTTTATTGGTTCTTTCGGACCCGGACCTAGCGGTTTGCAAACCGCATGTGCAGCGTGGGCAACCTTATGATGGCGCCTGCAGCACGATGGGTAGGCCATCCCGCCAGCCAGCTGTGCAGGGGCTTTAGCACCCAACGCACCTGCCATGTACCTCCTCGCGCCGCAAAGCCTTTTGCATGCATGTGTGGTGCGCTGTGCTTTTTGTGATCTGGTTTGTAGCTGACTACTCCTTCTGCCTAACACGGAATGACCTTCAAGGACGAGCAATTGTATTTATTCATACTTCCTTGACCTACACCTCCGGTCTGACTCTTTCCTCTTGTTACAGGTCAGGAGAGTCCGGGGCCGGACCGCGACGGAACGTTCCTTGTGCCGACCAGCGCGCCGATAAGGGGCAAAAGGGCTAAGATAGTCTACAAATGCAACGCCTGCCGCAGGAGGTTTCACAATCTAAGCGAAATGAAGAATCACAACCGTAGGCATCACACAGGCCTGTCCCGGCAATGTCCCCATTGCGCTCACCAAGCCAGGTCAAATGGACAGTTGCGCGTTCACTTAGTGAGAAAGCACCCTGCCATGTTCGCAAGGGAGTGGCCGTCGTGGCAGACGCCGCGGCGCTCAACGCCGAGGTCAGGGTCCCCACGGCCCACCCCGACCTCGCACGGACACGTCTACACGGCCCCAACGGCCAGAACAACGGCCGGCCTAACGGCCAGCCCAACGGCCAGCCCAACGGCCAGCCCAACGGCCAGCCCAACGGCCAGCCCAACGGCCAGCCCAACGGCCAGCCCAACGGCGCCAGTATAACGTTTAGCCCAATTGTCATCCCAAAGGACAGCCCAGCGGCCAGACAAACGGCGGTGAGCCCAACAGCTAGCCCGTCAGCCAGCTCGACGGTCATGCCAACGGCCAGCCCAACGGCCAGCCCAACGGACAACCCAAGGGACAACCCAACGGCCAGCCCAACGACCGCTTCGTTACGCTTTATGCGATCTGGTTTGTGATTGACGACTCTTTTCTGCCAACACGCAATGTCCTTCAGGGACGTGCAATTGTATTTGTTCTCTTCCTTGACCTACACGACAGGCCTGACGCTTTCCTCTTGTTACAGGTCATGAGAGCACAAGATCGGAGGAGCCTTCGGACCGCCACGAAACGTTCCTTCTGCCGACCATCGCGCCGAAAAAGAACAGAAAGTCGAAGAAACTCAACAGATACAGATGCTACGCTTGCTCCGCATCATTTCACGATCAGACCGAAATTAGGATTCACAACCGGAACTATCACAAAAACTTGCTTTGGAAATGTGGCCATTGCTTTTACAAAGCCAAATCAAACGCTCAGTTGCGCAAGCACTTGGTTAAAAAGCACCCCGACAAGTTCGTTGAAGAGCTGCCGTCGTGGCAGACACCGCGGCACTCAACGGCCAGCCCATCGGCCAGCCCATCGGCCAGCCCAACGGCCAGCCCATCGGCCAGTCCATCGGCCAGCCCATCGGCCAGCCAATCGGCCAGCCAAACGTTCAGCCAGGCCAGCACTATAGAATGTATAACCCTGGACTGAGTGTCTATCATGCAGTAGCATGTCACAAATATGATTAATATGAGAAGAACCGGCAACTATTTGATAAAACGCGCGGTGCAATATGGAAAAGATGCATACGGCCGTAAGTCCCCGTAGCATTGATTCTCATTTAGGTTGCTTGTAGATTCATAGTTACGGAACGAAAACTTTCAAGTCAAAAGTACACGGCCTTTATTCTCACTTAAATGACATTTCTTTTTATAATCTTGTGAGATTTTATTAAATTTTAACAGTCCGACCAAAACTTGTAGTTTTCGGTGTAAGGACGTTTGCGTTTAGTACGTTTTGTTGCTGGCCAAAGAACTACACAGATGCCCACTCGAGTTTATTCACTCGAGTAATCAAAAAACAGCAGAATTGGTTTAAATTTAGAATTTAGAAAGTTAAGTTTATCAAATATTTTATAATATTTTATAATGTCTCATAATATCTAATCATTATTTACAATTCTTTAATCAATTGTAATTCTCTTCTACTGAAAAGTTCGGCAGAGATTATGGTTTCTTTGGTCTCGTACTCACTAAAGAGCAATATGCAATTGATGTTCTGTTGCAAAAAGTAAAGTGCATGGGAATGAGGAATGTGTTTAGTTCTATGTAGTAGCCTTTGTGCCATATGTGTCTTTTATTTTGTATCTATAGAAAAATTAGATGTGATGTTTTAAACCTTAAAATAAAGTTTTATTATTTTTGAACTATGTTGGTCATGGGTTTTCTCCTTATCCATCTGTACAGTAGTGCATGCTTAAGTCTTTGAATGCATGTTTGTTTTACATAACTACAAGTTGATGGGCTTGGTGATGTAGTGTATTTTAGCAAAGTAGAAAATAAAGCTGAAGGTCAAAAACCACAACACGCTGGTGCTGCTTGATAAATTGGCTTTGTTCTGTCAGTGTATAATACACAATCTGTTTTAAGTGCTGATTTATTTTACTTTTTGTTTGTTTGCAAGATACAAATTGGTGTTTGTTTTTATCCTCTCGTGTCCTGCATTATTTCTTTAAACAAATTTAAAATCACTTCAGGCTAAGAGTTTTTTTCAATGTTGCAGAAACGGACTACGTCTCCGAGGAGGAGCAAAGCGGTGCGGAAGCTGGTGGATCCTATGAAGACTACTTTGAAGATCACGACGGTGAAGGTCACGACGGAGAGATGTGGACCACGGAGGAGGAGGAGGAGGACGAGGAGGACGAGGAAGAGGAGGACGAGGAGGACGAGGAGCTGCGTCGCGACGCGCTCTACGTGCCGGGCAGCGAGAGGCCGGTGCGGGCCCCCACGGCCCCGAGGAGCTACTTATGCCATGCGTGCGATGAGATCTTTGTCGGGAAGGGCCCATTACTGGAACATAACCAGTGGACCCACAAGGAGGTGGGCTACCACTGTCGGGGGTGCGAGGGCGTGTTCAGGAGCAACGCGCTCCTGCATCTCCACATGAAGGGCCGCCACCCCCACATGACAGACAAGCCGCGAGCACTGCAGCCGCCGCCCAGCCCACCCAGCCCGCCCACCTCCCAGGTGCTCCCCGCGGGGGCCAGGCCCGACGAGATCGTCGCCGTGGCCATGGACGAGTCGTCGCAGGCGTACTGCCCTCAAGGTCCGTGGATGGAAGGTGGGTGACTGCCTGATATGCGTTGGAGGGGCGCGAGGTTCGTGGTTGGCGCCATTTCTGAGTGTCACGTTTGTCGCAGGGTTCTCGGAGTCCTCCGCCACCGTCTGCCTCTCGTGCGACGAGACGCTCGTGGGTGAGGCCGCCGTGCAGGAGCACGACGCGACGCACCACTCCGGGCGCTCGACGCACATCTGCCCCCACCCGCGATGCAGCCGCCGGTTCGACCGGAACCAACAGGTGCAGCAGCACGTGGTGGCCGAGCACCGGTGGAGCGAAAACCAGCTGCTCCCCGACAAACCCGACCCCACCCCCGTGAGTGAGGCCGAGCCCCCGGCCGAGCCCCCGGCCGAGCCCCCGGCCGAGCCCCTGCTAGTCAGAGCGCGCATTCGGGAGAGGCTGGCGCAGGTCCTTGGCTCAGCACCGTAGAGACATAAGGGTGTCCGCAAGCTCAGGTGGAGCGGGACCGGTCGGTCGATCGGTGGTTCGGCATTGGTTGGTTTCTTTGCGAGGCTGGTCAATCACGGCCGACCGACCGACTGACCGATCGACCGCTGACCGAACGATTTTTCGGACACACCTCGAGCTGAGAGAAGTGGACGTAGCGAGCTGCTTCGTGGCTGGGACTTCCCCGCAACCGCACGCGACACGCGAGTGCGTGTTGGTGAGGGAGAACAGAGAGAGAGGGAGGAGAGAGAGCGAGAGAGAGAGAGAGAGAGAGAGAGAGAGAGAGAGAGAGAGCGAGAGAGAGAGAAGTGGGTCAAGTTGAAAGTGCATGGTACATTAGGGTTGGAAGCCCCATTAATTTCTATTAATTATGAGGTACTTACAAGAATAAGCACAGCACAGAGAGGTTCATCTACAAAGAGC